TCGCGGCTTCGCATTCGCTGGCGCGGCGCCGCTGCCGCCCACGCCCGCTGCGGGCGTGCTGCTGCGCAAAGACAGCACGCTGCGGCTCTTCGCGCTGCGAGACGCGACGCCGCAGCTGGCGCAGGAGCTCGAGCTGCCCGTCTCGAACCTCGCGAGCGTCGAGCACATGCGGCACCCGTGCCAACGCTTCCTGGTCACGCAGCCGAACTGCGCGTTCGCGGTCGTGCAGCGCTGCGAGCGCAGCAACTTCGCGGTCTCGCTGTTTCGCAGTTTCGACTGCGAGATGCGCGCGCCGATCGTCGCGGACGTCAACCTCGACGGCGTCGACGACGTGCTCTACTCGCACGCCGGCAAGCGCTGGGGGCTCGACGGCAAGCTGATCTTCACCGAGCGCGCCCAGCAAAGCTGGCACGAACTGCTCGCGCTCGCGAAGCCCGAGCCGCGCGAGCTTGCCGCCGCGCTGCCCGCGCCGAGCCGCACCCCGACGCTGCGCGAACGGCTGAGTCAGTGGCTCGACTTGCTCCGGTTCGCGCGCGAGCCGCATCGCGAAGAACGCAAATCCGCGTTCGAGCGACACCGCGCCTGGCGCGCGACGTTCGACGCACAGCCGTCTGAGTTTCGCGAAGACGCGCCGCTGACGGGTCTGCTCGCGACGCCGCAGTGCGACCTCGACAACAACGGCGTGCCCGACCTGGTCTTCGCCAGCCGCACGCCGCGCAGCCTGCGGCTCGAGATATTTTACGGACGACTCGCGGACGGCGCGCTGCGCTACGACTTTGACGCCTGCGCGAACGTGCACCTGCCGCTCGACACCTACGCCGTGCTGCTGGACGAATTCCGCCTGGGCGGCTCGCTGGACGTCTTGGCGCTCACGCCCGCGCTCGCCATCTTGAACTCGCCCGCGCGCGCCGCCGGCTGCGGCGCGCCGCTCGAACGCGAGCAGATCATGGAGCTGCCGCCGGCGGCGCCCGCGTTCTGTGCGGCCGTAGACACGACGGCAGCCGGCGCGCCGGACGTGGTCTGCAGCGTGCAGCAGCCGGAACCCGCGCTGCTGCTGCTGCAGAACCGCGTCGCGCCGAAGGCGCGCCAGCGCAGCGGCGTGAGGAGCGCGGCTCCGCCGCGCTCGCTCGGCCGCGAGGACGCGCCCGAACAGCCGTTTTTCGAGACGGCGCGCGCGCCGCTCGCGGACTGCGAAGCGCTGCAGTTCCTGCACGCCGGCGCAGAAGGGCTGTTCGCGTTTTGCGCGCGCGACGGAACGTGGAGCGCGCAGCTCGTCGTCCCGGCTGCGGGCCGGCGGCTCGCGCTCGGCGCGACGCTCGACGCGGAAGCGCCGGGCGGCGAGAGCAGCGCGCAGTTCGAGTGCGCGAAGCTGTTCGCGATCTCAGCAGCTGGGCAGCCCGTCGCGCGCAACAAATGCCAGCGCAACAGCTCGCGCTTGCCGCTCGTCGGGCCGCTGCTGATCGGGCTCGGCGAACACAACAGCTACGTGAACCGCTTGAGCTACTACTACCTGGGGTTGAAGCCGCGCGCCGCGCCGCCCGCGCCGCGCGGCGCGGCGCGCTGGTTGTCTTCGTTGGGCAGCGCGGCCGCGCGGCCCGTGCACGGCGCTTTCACCTCGACTCTTTTGCAAAATTTGATGGCCAACAGCTCCGTCCTCGTAAGCGACGCGCGCCACGCTGCCCAATCCAAGATTTACGTGACCGCGGGGCTGAATCTAAAAACCCTATTAATTTGCATGTTAGTCTTTTTAGCTAGCTCTTTTGGCTGGGTAATTTTACTGGAACGCGTCCACTCGCGCAAGGCGCAGTCGCTCTCCATCTGAGGCGATCTCGCGGCTGCATGGTTGTGTTTGCTCTCGCCGAGCGGAACTACGACCGCTTCGGCCGCACCGCGTACTGCATAGATTATTACACGTCTCTCCAGTGCCCCGCGCAACTCGAGCAGCGCAAGCTCCACACGCTGGCGTTCGCGCGGCTCACGCTCCTCGCGCGACTGCACAGCGCCGAGGTCGCCCCGCGCTTCGCCGAAATCGCGCAGCAGCTGGCTTCGAACGAGGCGCAAGAGCAGGTTTTCGCGAAGGCGCGCGCGCTGAATGCGGAGCTGCACAGAGGCTTGCTCTTCACGGGCCTAGTTCCCGTGCCGAGTGCGTTCGCGCTAGAGGGCGTGAGCGCGGCGCAGCCCGCGGTGCAGACCGGCGGCAAGCGCAAAAAGTTCCGAATTTACGAGAGCGTCGATCCGCAGACCTCGGCCACGTTCAGCGAGGAAGCGATCGCCGCGGCGCAGCGCGACGACGCACTCTCCTTCCTGCTGCTGTTCTTGGCGTACGTGCACACCGCCGACGCAGCGTGGCTGCTCGAGGCTGAGCTGCGACTGTTCGTGCTTCGGCTGTGTCTGTACACGGAAGGGTTTGGCGAGACCCGGCTGCTGGAAGACTTTGTGCGCAACAGCGGCTGCGCGCTGAGCCTGCCGAGCGCGGACGAGGTTGCGAGCCTCGCGCTGCACTCACGCGAATACTACAAGGTCGGCCTGGGCAACGCGAGCGCGCGGCTGCTCAACTTGCGGCACGTTGCGGCGGCGCGCGGCTCGATCTTCTTTCCGAGCAAGCTGTTGCCGCTATTCAGCAAACACTTGTTCGACAGCTACTGGCAGCGCGTGCGGCGCGAAGTGAACCTGACGCAGCACCAGGCGTGGCTGAGCGCCAGCTTCGGGCACGCCGTCGGGCAGCTCATCGAAGAACTGCAGTTCCTGCAGCCGCGGCTGCGCGTGAGCCGCGAGCTCGCGCCGACGCCCGCGCAGCTCGAGCGCGACTTCGAGCCGCTCGGTCCGGACTCGCTGAAGCAGCGCGTGCGCTACCTGCCCCCGTGCATGGTCGCGTGTCTCAACCACCTGGCGGTACAGCGGCACCTGCGGCACGCGGCGCGCATGACGCTCTGGCCATTCATGAAAGACTGCGGGTTCGCACTGGAGGACCTCGTAGCGCTGAACCGTTCGTTTTGGAACGACCCGCGCATGTTTGATCGCGAGCAGAAGTACGCAATCCGGCACATATACGGGCTCGAGGGCAGGCGCCGCGCCGCCTCGTGCTACAGCTGCCGGAAAATCATTGGCAGCGCGACCGTAAGTTTCCGCGCGCGCAACGCAGGTGTTCTCGGGCGCGGACTGCGTGGGCTGCCCGTTTACGTTGCAGCAGCGGTCCGAGCTCGCGAAAGTGCTCTCCGCGTACGCGCTAGACAGCAAACGGCTGGACGCGGCGCTGGAGTCGCTGGAATTCGACTCGCCGCAAACGCTCTGCAGCACTTTCTTCAGCGCGCTGCATCCACACGCGGACAGCAAGGGCGTCGGCGTCTCGCCGTTCTGGTTCTACGCGAACTCCGCGCGCAAGCGCGACGCGGCGTCGGGCTAGCGCAACGCGAGGTACTCGTCTTTGCCGACGCTAAAAACTCGGATGCGCGTAATCGCAGCAAGGCGCTCGTCGTCGTCGCGCGGACTCAACGTCAAGTCAGAGCGCACGTAGCGCACTCGCTGCGCGCCACTCGCCTCCTTTCCCGGCTCCGTTTTCAAACTCGTGGACGCGTTCGCCTTCGGCGACCCAGCTTCGACGACAGCCAAGTTGTTGCCGACCAGACAGAAAATTCGCGGCAGCCGGCCCTCGTTTGCGCGAGCGTAGTCGCATTTCTGCACGGCGAGCGCGCCCTGCGCGTCTACGTCCAGGCACTCGTCTTTTGCGCCGCTGAGCAACAGCCCGTTGGGCAGCAGCTTCCACGTGGCGCGCGCGTCGGAAGCGCACGCGCCAATCCGCACCGCGCCTTCGGCGGTTGCCTCGAGACACTTTTCGGCGTCCGGCTCCTGCAGGTGCCAGTGCTCAAAGGTTTCCGGAAACATGCGCCCGTAGTCCGCGTACTTCCCGTAGCGCGCGAAGAAGTTGCGCACGCAGTCGGGGCTGCGCGTCGCCGTTATGCGCAGCATGGCCTGCATGAATTCGTCTTCTTGCTCGCGAAAGCGCAGCGCTGCCGACACGTACTTCTCGAGCTCCGGGTCCGGTGCGATCCAGATGCGGTGCGTGCGGCGGTGGTTGCGCACAATGTTTTCGTGCAGCTCGCCGCTGGTGGCGACGGCCGTCTGCCCGCGGTTGAAAACGTGGCCGACGCGCGACTCGTCGACCGTCTCAATCGGGTGGCCTGCGCAAAACGCGCGCAGCGAGAGCTCCAAGTTTTCGCTGCCCCACCCGCGCATGCCGAGGTCGTAACCGCCCATGCCGAAGAAGACTTTGGCATACACCATGAAGTAGGAGCCGCTCATGACGGGCACCGTCTTCTCGGCCGGGTCGTGCACCCAGTAGTGGTTGTAGCCCCAGTCGAAGAAGACTTTCGTGCCGTACACACCAGTGAAGCGGTGCTCGTCGTCGACGTCGTGGATTTGCGGCACGAAAATCTTCTGCGGCTCGGCGTGCACGCGCTGCAGCAGCGGCGCCGCCCAGCCGGACGGTGTGCAGGTGTGCGCGTCGCCGAAGAAGAGCACGTCGGAAAACGCGCTCGCGAGCACCGCGCCGGCAAACCGGGAGACCATGATCCCGAGCTGCGCATCGCTGCGCAGCACCAGCAGCTTGGCCGTGGAGAACTCGCGCGCAGCCTGCGGCGCGTCACGCAAACACTTGCGCACGGTTTCCGCCACAGGCGGGTCGCTCGCGTCGTCAACGAGCACGACCGCGTCGAGCTCGCGCGAGTCGCCGTCGCGCCACAGCGACTCGAGCGTTTTGCAGAGGTACTTTTCTTCGTTGCGCGCCGTGATCACGAACGAGAAGCCGGCGTTCTGCCGGACGGAAAACGGATGCGTCGTCAGCCGCAGCTGATCCTCGACGCGCGGCAGCAGCGGCGCGATCGCCGAGACGAACAGCCTGCCGCTGCGCTGCGCAGCGGCGAAGCGAGCTTTGATGTCGAACGCCGCTTGCAGCACGCCAGGCGCGGCGCAGGCCGCGGATCCGACCTCGCAGCTTTGATCGCCGGCCGACGTGAGTGCAGCGCCCAGCAGCAAAGCCAAGCGTAGCAGCAGCATAATTGGTTGCCGCAGATCTGCCGCAATCAGGCTAAGACATAGTATTTAGTAAATCGAAAAATCTTTTTTGAAAAGAATCCGTGTGCAGGCGGCTCTCTCGAACGGCGCTACTATGTACGGAATGAACCCCAGCGGGCATTTCGGCGGGCTCGCCGAGATCGGCGGCGCCCCCATCATAATTGTCGAAGGCGAGCAGAACAAGTCGCGACTCACAGGCCTTGAGGCGCGGAAGGCAAACATCCAGGCCTGTCTGGACGTGGCGAACATGATCAAGACGTCATTCGGACCCAGAGGCCTGGACAAGATCATCACCACGAAGGACGGCGACTTGGTAGTCAGCAACGACGGAGCAATTATTTTGAAGCACTTGCCGATCTCGCACGAGTGCGCAAAGCTATTCGTGGACTTGAGCCGAAGTCAAGACATGCAGATCGGCGACGGCACGACGGGGATCGTGATTTTGGCGGGCGCGCTGCTTGAGCAAGCGCTCGAGCTGCTGGACATGAAGATCCACCCGATCAAGATCGCGGACGGCTTCGACTTTGCGGCCACCGTCGCGATCGACTGGCTGCACGCGCACCACGCGGCCGTAGAACTCGCGAGCGAGACGCAGCTGCTGCAAGTTGCGAAAACTTCGCTGTGCTCGAAGATCATCAGTGCGAAGGCCGACCTGTTCGCGGACATGTGCGTGCGCGCGGTTCTGGGCGTCGCGGACGTCGCGCGGCGTGACTGCTGTCTGGACCTAATCTCGGTAGAATGCAAGCCGGGCGGCAGTCTGGAGGAGTCGTTGATGGTGAACGGCATCGCGCTGGACAAAGAGTTCTCGCACTCGCAGATGCCGAAAACTGTGAACGACGCGCGCATCGCGCTGCTCTGCTGCCCGTTTGAGCCGCCGAAGCCGAAGACGAAGCACAAACTCGAGATCTCCAGCGCCGCGGCCTACGACGCGCTCGCGGAGCAGGAAGCCGCGTACTTCAGCAACATGGTGCAGCGCGTGGCGGAGAGCGGCGCGACGGTTGTGATTTGCCAGTGGGGTTTCGACGACGAGGCAAACCACTTGCTGCTGAAAGCCGGCATTCCGGCGGTGCGCTGGGTCAGCGGAAAAGAGCTTGAGATGATCTCGCTAGCGACCGGCGCGCAACTGGTCGCGCGCTTCGAAGACCTGTCGGCAGAGAGACTCGGCCGTGCACAAACAGTCCGCGAAGTCTCGGTGGGCACGGAGGACCAGCGCATGGTGCTGATCGAGGGATGTCCGACGCAAAAAGCGGTGTCGATACTGATCTGCGGGTCCAACCGCTCGGTCGCGGACGAGGCGAAGCGCTCCGTGCACGACGCGATCTGCACGGTGCGCAACTTGGTGGTCAACCCCGCGGTCGTGCCCGGCGGCTGCGCGAGCGAAATCGCGTGCAGCCTCGCCGTGTCCGCGGCAGTGCCGTCGCAAGTCTCGCACCGCCAGTTCGCGGTGCAGGCGTTTGCGGACGCGCTGCTGAAGCTTCCGCAGCAGCTCGCCGCTAACGCGGGTTTTCAGGGCTTCCAGGTCGCCACCGCAGCGCGCGCCGCGCAGCTGCAGCTGCAAGACTCGAGCATCGGCATCGACTGCAGCTCTGGCGAGCCGCGCTCCATGTCCGCAGCCGGCGTCTTCGAAAGCTTGGACTCCAAAGTGCACCAGATTCTGCTGGCCACGCAGATCGTAAAAATGGTGCTGCGCATCGACGACGTGATCGAGTGTGACAAGTCGCAGCAGCTGCGCTAGTTGCCGCTGCGCTGCGTGCAGCGGCTACGTAGCGATGATGTGGTGCATACAAACGCATTTCTCTTCCGAGCACTGCATGTAGATCTCGCTCTGCAGTATGCTCTCGTAGGACTCGTCGTCCGCGAAGAGCGCGCTCAGCACTTTGCGCACGTCCGCGCGCTTCACCGAGTCGTAGTTGATAATGGGCACGTGATTGTGCATTTTGCCTTGCCATATCGAGCACTCTGTCTTGTTCAAAATCGGATCTGACC